TTCAAATTTCTCAAATGATACTGAACATACTTGCATCTTATTCCACTAATATAGTACATTAATGATGTGAGTGACATAACAACATCCCTAACATCTGAGACGAGAGAGAACTATGTTGTTAACACACTCTGTGGTACATGCTTTTATATATAGTGCAAGTGATGCACCACTCAAAATGCATAATATTTCTAGTCTAAAAATAGATGAAACTTGTACTTAAATTCATTGTGGATGGTAAAATGTTTATACAGATCATTAGTAAAATGTCAGAAATCTATAGAGTTCAATATCTGTCTGTCAGAAATATATACAGATCAATACTATGATGTCAGAAATATATACAGATCAATAATATGATGTCAGAAATCAATATACGTCAGTCAGAAATATATACAGATCAATAATATGATGTCAGAAATATATACAGATCAATAATATGATGTCAGAAATCAATATACAGATCAATAATATGATGTCAGAAATCAATATACGTCAGTCAGAAATGTATACAGATCAATGATATGATGTCAGAAATATATACAGATCAATATCTGTCAGAAAAATCTACAGAAATAAAGAGGTTGTAAAACAATAATGAATTCTCAACTGTACAGAATCCTCTTAAGCCATCAAATTGGAAACAAAAGTGAAAATAAACATATTTATCTTAACATTAGATAAATTGTTCAAATATTATCAAGTTATACTCCATCATTGTAAAAAGAAATGGTCAAACAGAGGCTGTTCTACTCGACATGCCAAATCTCAATTTTCATCTCAGCTTAACAACTACAAATTTTATTCCTTTGTTAGAAAATTGATTTTAAAAGTTAGAATTATAGTGAAATAGAATGATACATTGTGTATGCCTCACAGTTGTTACATAATACTGAGAGTAATGGGTGGGGAGGTGTAGGGATTGACAAATCTCCGACTCTGGTTTAGTATATTTATCAACGCGACATGACACTTGCCATTCATACTGATAATGTGATATTCCAGTTTCCTTCCCATCGACACTATTTGTCATCATCTCAGCCCAAATTTTATCAGAAGCGGGTACCGAAGTCTTGCATCTTTATGAAGACGTTATAGTGCGTTTAACACATTGTATTCCAAGCCTGCTTTTGACAGAGCTAAGAATAAATCTTTATCTAATCTGATGTGTTAAAGTTTTTGATTAAAATATTTCCGACTACACCTTTTTATACCAACCCATTAAATTTGATCAAATAGGGAAACACAGCAAGAAGATGACATATTACAATGTAATATTTGATGAATGGCAGAGGAGAATGAGCTTTGTTGTTTGATATCAACACCTTTAAGTAACCCTATCAATCCAATTCATTCAGCATAATTTACATTCACTGTTCTGTACTAAAAGAAAATAGGCTTATATACATATATAGTCTTAATAGATTTCAACGCCTTGAAAATTTAACAGATTGATCAAGTATCAAAGATTATATAAACATAATTTCTTTTCAAAAATTTTTTTTGAAACTGAAGCCATTAAAAAAAATCAATTTACAAAAAAAAGTATTTCTGAACTTTATTTGAACTTTATACATATGAATCCAACAAACATGACTAATTATTATTTTTTTTTAAAAATCATTTTAACATTTTATTTGTTTGTGTAGGAAACTTATTTAGTAATAAATTTTTGTTAAAACTGACAAAACTTATTTTGCCACAGAAATTGTGTAATCTAAGTTTTGTATTGCAAAACTTCGATAGTTTATCAGGTAAAATTACTAATTCTTAATCATATCGAATTGATGAATGCCATTACATTACACCTTGAAAGGGTTAAATTTCAACAGTGGCAACGTGATGCTGTATGAAAGGTTCAGGATGAACAGTTTACTGACCGAATATCAGTGCGAGCAGATCAAGATTAATGATGACACTAGATTGGATCGAAAACAAAGAAATTATCACTGATTTTCCTTCTATGTAGAATGAGTTATCTAAGCAGGGGTGCTTTTCCAAAAATTCCAAGATTTATAGCTTTATCAAAAACCTTGGCTGCCTCTTTAATTTTAATTTCTATGCTACAAATCTTTCTGAATCAAGGCTGTTTCCGACGGATAAAATTAATCTGTTTCAATTTTTACTATGTTATAGGATATTAGATTCTCAAATGAACAAGAAATAAAACTCCTGTGCACCTAAATCTTCTTGCTTCTTAAACTTTAAAATAGTGGCACACAATATTATATGAGCATTCGTTGTTCATTAAATATCAAAATAACATTTTTTAAACACTGCCCACATTTTGATTTTTGGCAGAGATAAGAAATTTTTCATTTTATAGGCACAAGAAAATGAAAGCAACATTATCAAAATTATAATATAAAATTCCTTACTAAATAAAAGATTCTCATTTTTTTTTTAAGGGAATATTTAATGAGAAATAGAACAGCCAGTCAATTATATATTTTCTGCACCTAATACAATCTAATATATGAGGAGAGATATTCAACAGATCTAGTATGCAGTAAAGTAAGAAACTAATATCACACACATGCTGGTGAAACACCACACTTTTAGATAGACATACCTATCAGTGCAAGTAGAATTTAAGTTTACTTTCCCATAAAAAAATAAAAAATAATGATCACATATCTGGAATATTTTTTCTGTTTCTGATAAATGTACCAGCAGAAGGTAAATGGAAAACCTATATAAGTCAGGTGAGAGGAGGGGAGTTAAATAGCCAGCTAAATTTAAGTGTTGACATGTACTATACAGGCAGTTGGTGCCCTGAATGCCTAGCTATCTATACCACTGACTGACAAGATAGGGAAAATGTTTAGAGAAAGTAAACATTGCCACATTATACAATCATTTCATATTTTTTAGGAGTGAATTTTTACAAAGATAAGACTCAGAATGATTTTTATGTTTTTAAATTTTAAAACTATCGACCCAAATTTATCAAATAAACATGCAACATAGAATTCGTCCTTCAGTATTAAAAAAACTCTGCACCAAGCTTATCTGTAAAAGTTGTTGTTGAACCTTCGCACAGTAAAAAAACATCTATGTGATAGCTGTAGATCACCTGACCTAGTTTTATCAAATCTACATGACATATCCTGTTAAATATGTTGTTTACTTAATAGAAATACAGAAAACATGTAAATACACCTACAATCAGTCAGGTAACTACTGGTTATACCTATCATTTCCTCAGGATTGTCTGCATTTTTACTAAAATCCATTTCAAGCCTATAACTGATGCAGATTTCCTCACATCATCTATTAATATAAGTTACTTTAAACAATACCACATAAAATTACAAAAATTTACATATCTACACTTATAAAACACAGAAAAAAAATCTGAATCAACTACATAAGTAATATATTTATACAGAAATATCTTTTATTTTCTAAAATAGATTTTTTAAATGAGTGAAATTCATGGTAAATTATTATTTTAAAAATGAATATTTTGCTGAGTAAGCCAAGTTCACTTAACATTATGCAAGGATCCAGCATCTAGGCTTTAGATGTTTTAGTTTTTAAAATATTGAAATACAGTCTAATATTTTGCTAAGCATATCTATAGAAGCTGTTTGCCTGTTGAATAGCTTTTCATGGTAAAATTGTCTAACAACACAAATATTGACACTTTGCTGAGTAGGATGTACAGCTCACAGTTTACGTACACACGTTAGTGTATAATGTAATTATTGATGTATACCAACGTCTCCCACCATCGCTAGGCCTTGTGATGAGAGATATTTCTATATTACTTTGAAATATACACATGAAAGATGATGTTTATTTGACTGAATTTGAAATCTTTGATGTATATATATATATATATAAAACTATGAATTGTTTTAGAGTTGAATGTTAATACAGATAGCAGAAAAATGAAAGTAATATCCTCGAACCAGTTAACGACAGATTTGATGTTTCAGGAAACAAATAAAATAAGTTTGTAGTAGTATCCACATACATGTTTTATCATGTTTATTTATATCAACTGTATATCGTCTCAACTTGATCCTGATGTGTGAATTTTGATTTCTGGTTTTCTACATTAACACTAGTTGAACTGTTACAAGTATTATTTATTCCAATATTTTCACATTTTGAGAAAAAGTTATCATTGGAATTAACAAAATAATTTCTTTCTTAATCAAATACCTGAATGCTGGATTCACTAAAGCTTTTCCTAAATATCAGCAATTTTTTTAATGTTTTGTACTGGTTAAAGACAAGTGTTTCAAAAAGTAGAATTCATGTAACACAACAGGTTTTGTATTGACAAAGCAGCCATGTCTATCTACAAAATTCACACATTAGCTTAATTCTCTGTTAATTCTCCCCTGGTGTACTTTACACAGGGTGTCGCAAAACTAATTGTCACCTGATAAACAAAGCTACGTAAAATGTGAGTACTAAACCCAGAGCTCCGCCAATCTCTACCATTTATACCCACTTTTCGAATAGACTGTTACTGAGTCACTCAAAATCTCATTCATAGACTTGGTTGTCAATCTGAATTACTTGTGTAAGAATGTTTCATTTGGCTATCATTTAAGGAAATTTTTCTCCTACTTTTTAATTAAATTTCTATTATATGTTTTAGAAAATACCCTTTTAATTAAACGGTAACTTACTATAAATTGTAATAGATCCAAGACATAATATCTAAACGAAATCAATTTTTTGTTGTTTAGAATTGCGTAGCATCTTTATTTAAAAAAAGGATGTATTTTACCTAAACTCATTTCCTTCCCATAATCAAGTGTGTAATCATCACAAGTTTTTTTTGAGGAAGAACTATACATGATATCAAAAGTGGTTGGTGTCAGCAGGTTATCTTCTGTTAAGATTGTATTAACTATTTGTCCTTATTATGACTATGATGAAATTACTGAAGTTTGTCTTTTTGTAAAAATGTCATGAAGAATATAAACAGACTTAGGGGAAAATCAGCATATATCTAAATCATATATATATATATTACTTACCTCAGAGTCGGAAGAGGGTTTATAGTCATAGCACTCATAGTCCATGTATGATGGAACCCCACCCAGACCCTGCCCTGCCGGCCCAGGTCCGGGGATAGCAGTGGCCATGAAGGGGTGGCGTTCTTTCCCCTGAGTACTGGCCTGCAGTGCTGAACCCTGACAGAAGTAATAATTTGGCTCCTGCATCTTAGCACACATAATATGATGAACTCCTAGATATGTAATGTTTAGGAACTCCTTATTAGAAAATGTTGTTACCACATTATAACAATGTTGCTCCTGACGAAAACTTCGGAGATCACATGAATGAGTATTTGTCAGAGTGTTGTTGTAGCATGGGCGGGACGCGCCGTGTACAATTTCCCGGTCCAGTGATGTTATTGAACTATTCCAATGGTCCAACTCTCCGTATTGGTTGAGTTTTCCTTTCCGAGATGCTGGGAGACTGGGGATGGAAGGAGGAGAGGACAGATGTATTTATCCTGGCTACTAGCCCCGGCACTCACGTGGTCGTGAAGACGTTTGTTGTGTGGTAGGGTACACTCCAATACTACAACTCACAGTGTGCTGCCATGGGATTCAATGAATCACTACACAACACAGGCATCTTCTCCATCCAAACTGTCACAGATACCTACTACAGTGCTTTGTATGGATTTCACCATGGATACGTTGGACTATGATAATATCTGTTAATTGTTTATCAACAAGAATCTTCAAAATGTAGACCATCCAAAAAAAAAATTGAATTAATACTACTAAACACGCACTAATTTACAACATTAGACATTTTATGACAATATTTTGCAATATTTGTGATATTTTTTACAAACCCTGTCTCAAGTCTGGTGTACTGGCTTCGAAGGAGACTGGAGCCTGAGAATCCTCTTACTACACGACTTAATGAAATTTTACAACCTAACTCCTAATTATAACTCGGCAACTCAAGCTGGTCGTCGTGACAATAAAACTGTTCTGTGGTAGTAATGCAGGAAAGCCCATTTACACACACGACAGTGTCACTACCTATACCAGTAGTGTCCCCTCTTTTCCAAGGTGCTGGTGTCTTTGGTAAGCTGACTGACTAGAAGCTAAAATTAGTCCACATGTACTTTCTAATGCCTTTTTTTCCTTCCTCAGATTACACCGGCGTTGTTCCACAGGAAAAGTCAGTAATAGTAGACTACACTTGTATTATATATTTTGAAGTATCAGTAGGAGTACACCCTACAGGTAGTACAGGCTTCCACACAAGTAACACAGGGTGTCCCACGCAGGCTTTGGTGTTTACTAGTAATACCTATAACTTCAGTAGGTCTGCTATGATCCTTGGAGTCCTCACTTGACCCTTTACCTCCTTCTACCATTGGGTCTCAGTCGACTGATCCACACAGAGGCACGCCAACCTAACTACTATATCGTCGCCGTTTTTGTTGTCAAACTGTCGTTGTTACTGTGTGTTTAGATGTCTCTCAAGTGATCACACTGTCTGGTGACAATTTAAGACAGGTGAGATGCTCAGGTATACAAAGTTACACTATATTACAGAGACAATAGTTACCTATAATGTCAGCACAATATAAAGTTGTTGGAGTGAGGAATCTACACACACACATATGTGTATCAAGGATATAAATACCAACACACAGGTATATAGGTACATACATATGCTACACCAGTACACTACAGGCCTCTGTTACAACCCTAGTACCAAAACATAGCTCCCCACACTACAGTAGTCAGGACCAAGCTATAGACAGGGACCTTACCAAGCTCCAGTACGGGTCTCCTTCTCTCCCCTTTTGCTGCTCTACTTACTTTGTGTAATGTAGAAAAAAAAATCGACACCCATGGAATCTCTGCCAGCTCTGGTTGATATAGAAGGCAGAACAAAACACAGTTCCCCAAATAGAAAGTCAGGCTGATAACTATGATAGGTTTGTACCTTCTGGCCTCATGGTTTCTCCGAGGAATCTTTTACATCAGTAGTAATACACTGGCTTAATCATTTACTGACAAGATCTAGCATGTATACAGTTATAGGTCAATAATACTTTTATGTCAGTTGTGCTTGATGCACATTTATAAAATAGTAAGATGGCTGAGTGGGATGTGTTCTATGGAGTAAGACTGTGTGGGATATATTATGTGGTACATTCTAACAATATTTTTACCTTTACATTCCAACATCTTTAATCATATTTTACCTGTACATTCTGACAACTTTACTTGTACAATTTAATCGTATTTACCTGTACATTCTGACAACTTTACTTGTACAATTTAATCATATTTACCTGTACATTCTGACAACTTTACTTGTACAATCTAATCATATTTACCTGTACATTCTGACAACTTTACTTGTACAATTTAATCATATTTACCTGTACATTCTGACAACTTTACTTGTACATTTCAAACTTATTTTACATAACTGCCATTTTTACCTTCACATCCTGATGACTTTATTTGTACATTCTAGATACCCTATAATTACAAGTAATACCATCCACCGGTCACCATTTCAAGTGACCAGTTTCTATAACTTCTACTGTCTGACCACTTCAGTGACTTACAGGTAATGACCGGTGTTGCTGACCTTAGATAAATGGCTGGATGACCAGAGAGCACATGATAACCTACTGAGATTAAATCAATGCCTAATGACCAACACTGTTTATAATAAACTGACCATTGCATAACTGGTAGAATGTATGAAGTTGCTAAATAGAAATGGGTTTATATAAAGGCAATCTGTTTAGATAGATATCTGATCTACATAAAATATCAATTACCCAATGACTCTAACAGATGACTCCTATAGGCAGGTAGCTTATTAATAACCAGTACATACACCAAGGGTATTACTTTATAATATATTTCATACTTTTTCATATTCTGTCAAGGAAATGATGAACCCTGATTGAAAACTGACCTCATTAGACAGGTGACCTTTATACAGTTACTTATCAGAATGACCTAAACACACTCGCCCACTTAAGACAGGTCACTTTAATACAAAGTCTATTACATAACTGGTGTTTTATGAAGTTTTCTGTAGAGCTAAATATTTCCATTGACTGAACTGCTTTTACTAATCAGGCGTTGAAAGATATGATTCTGTGAAAAGTATAGCTACCAGTCATAAACTTTATGTGAAGGTCACAGTAAATACCCCTCTTTTGTTACAAATCCTTCTAACAGGCGGTCAAGGGGAGTCTGTGTACAAAGCCTATTTAGGTAATTAATATTGATATAAATACATTATGGTCCAATCATTCAGAGACATGGCATGCTGCCCGGAATCAGAGGATTTGACCAGTGGCTCTCTGTTACATTTCATATTATTTCCTTGTTAAAGCTTCAATACATGCAACTTAAAAAATTGAGGAGAAAAAATGATCTATTGAGGTATAATAAAAATTAACTTTTCTAATAAATAATGATAGAATTGTGGCTTGAATTCATTCTTTGCATTAAAACCTCCATTCTGAAAATCAAAACCTTGGTTCCTGCTGTGAGAGGTAGGTACTTATAGTATAAACACATAAATGATGAATGAGTATACATCCTCATTCTTCCTGTCATATGATGTCATAAAAAGTACACTCATCATACTTTACCTGTAAACTTGCCTACTGTACATGTACATTTTTTCTGTTTATGCTGAGTTTGAAGATTAGTCACATGAAGTTTTTGAAATGGTCTTTGGAACTTTGCATAACAGCAGTTTGTATTTTCAGTGGGATCCGTTTTTATCAATTTTTATTTGTTGCGATTTCCCCTCAAAGTGTTTCTTAATAGGTACTACTCAGTTCAAGTACGTTATAATATTATCTTTGCTTAATTACCAAGTGGGAGTTTTCTCAGAATCTTTCAGAATCACATAAATTTCCAAAATAATGCACATAATGGGGCTTTAAAGAACAATGGTAGCATTCCAGCATTTTTGTACTGCCTCACTTCCTATACAAAGATACCAGAGATTCACATGGTTAATATCACAACCGAATATCAAAGGAATAAAAGATGCATAATAATGCAATGAAAGTAATACCTAAAATATGATTTCCTCTCCATGTTCAGTGATCTAAATAACCTTGGTATAAAATAACATCTCTACAATTATAAATTTCCCTGTTTAGTGCTCTAACATAACCTGGACATAAATAACATCCCTACAATTTTAGATATCCCTGTTCAGTGGTGTGACATAACCTCGACATAAATAACATCTCTACAATTATAAATATCCCTGTTCAGTGGTCTGACATAACCTGGACATAAATAACATCTCTACATTTATAAATATCCCTGTTCATTGGTGTGACATAACGTGGACATAAATAACATCTCTACAATTATAAATATCCCTGTTCAGTGGTGTGACATAACGTGGACATAAATAACATCTCTACAATTATAAATATCCCTGTTCAGTGGTGTGACATAACGTGGACATAAATAACATCTCTACAATTATAAATATCCCTGTTCAGTGGTGTGACACAACCTGGACATAAATAACATCTCTACAATTATAAATATCCCTGTTCAGTGGTCTGACATAAACCTGACATGATCTATACTTTTTCACCATTAAATTGTCCTGTAGATAGTTTTCACCTTGATTGTATTTATAGCAGCAAGTGTAATATTGTGACATGGAATATGATCCCTAATAAAGTGTTAATTTAGCACAAATAGGCTGTTGAACAGATTCCTCTTAAGACTTGTGTCATTGACAGAAATTACACCCTAACTCAAGTGACCTGGCAATACATTGGTACAATCTTCCATCAGGTAAGAACTACATGTGGTCGTTAGTGACAGGTGAGATTCTTTCCTGTCTGGCTGCAGGACTTCAGTGAAGGTCAAGAGTTTCACACTTGGATATTGACACAACGCCAAACACAGAGACAAATAAGGCATTATTCCTAAAATTGATTGATTAGGAGGGCAAACCTGCAGTTGTGCAACTTGACAATGTACTAAGTTGTTTTTCAGGTATAAAATCAATACCAATTACAGTGTTTTCTTTGTTGGTGAGGGTGATTATCATCCAAACTGTCACATGTGCCTTTACAGCATCTAAATTTCCATCATTTCTCTGACAAATACCTTTTGAACACTTATTGTATAACTCTAATGACACAAAGGACTTTAGCAGAGAACAATACAGCTGGTATGTAAGGCTGAGTGTTCAGAGACCATCACATGTCTGAGGAACAAAAAGTGGACCAGTTCATCCTGGACTGCCAATGACAAG